CCCAGGCTCTTCCTTTAGAGTGGGCCCCCCCCCCTGCCTAGCGCCTCCCCCCCTCCCCTGCCTGGCCCCGCCTGGGGCCGCAACGTCTTTAGCATCTGCCTGGCTTCTCCCGAGCTTTGTCCCTGTATTCGCTGCCGTCCGTGGCACCAGTTGTTGGCCAAGGCGGGGTAAGAATCATGCTGAATCAACTGTGAGGTGGGGTACAGGGGGGCTCACCAGGGCTCTGTGTGGCCTGCCGGATGGGGCCGCAACGTCTTTAGCATCTGCCTGGCTTCTCCCGAGCTTTGTCCCTGTATTCGCTGCCGTCCGTGGCACCAGTTGTTGGCCAAGGCGGGGTAAGAATCATGCTGAATCAACTGTGAGGTGGGGTACAGGGGGGCTCACCAGGGCTCTGTGTGGCCTGCCGGAGGCTGCGTGGACCGTTGCCTGCCGGCCTCGCTGTGGCTTTCTGAGATTCCCCCGCTCAGCAGGCCCATGGGTCCCTCTTCCAGCCTCCGCCTCTGCCCCCATTGCCTCAGATGGAGCAGCCTGGGGCTGCGAAGAGAGGCAGCTGGGGAGCGGAGCACCCAGGAAATTCCCCAGCCTCTGGCTCCGGGGGCTCACAGCCGAGCAGGCGCTATGGGTAGGGCCGTGACGCCAGCCGGCTGGTTTCAGGCTCTGCCTAACGGGGGTGACCTCTCCCGTGACATCCCTGTGCTGCTGTCTCTGGTTTCGTAGCCACACACGTGGCTTCGGGTCACCTCTTGACACTGGTCCCTCTGCTGCCCTGAGCCCTCTGCCTGGTCTTTGGGCCCGGGGAAGTCTCGGAGCAGCTTGGTCCATGCCCAGAGACAGTCTCCGTGACATAGGAAGTTGGGGCTGCACTTCTCCAGTCGCTCCAAGGACCAGCCGCAAGCTGCAGCCCCAGTTTTGCTGGCCTATGTGCCTCCACGCGCTGGGGGGCAGCCGGTGTGTGTGTTGCCATCCTGTGTGCGCCCAGCGTCCCCACGTCTCTGCTGTGTTGTGTGAGGAGCCCTCCTGTAAATAAACCTTTCTAACTTCCCGCCATCTCCCCTCCCTCCCGTGCCTCCCCCTGCACCTGCCACGCTGCAGGTGAAACTTGGAGAATTGCCGGGGACAGTAGAGGGGCTATGACACACAGTGAGCTAGTTCTCGTTCCGCCATAGCGCCCACAGAGGATGTGAAAGGCCCGGAGCCCAAAGCGCCGTGAGCTTGCCAGGCGGTGGTTTGGCAACAGGTTTTGAACCGGCCCCGTCTGGCACGGCTCCGGGTTACTGGCTCCCACGCTGCAGGTGAAACTTGGAGAATTGCCGGGGACAGTAGAGGGGCTATGACACACAGTGAGCTAGTTCTCGTTCCGCCATAGCGCCCACAGAGGATGTGAAAGGCCCGGAGCCCAAAGCGCCGTGAGCTTGCCAGGCGGTGGTTTGGCAACAGGTTTTGAACCGGCCCCGTCTGGCACGGCTCCGGGTTACTGGCTCGCGCCGGGGAAAGCTGCCGCCTAGTGAGACGCCAGCGAAGCTCAGTCTGTTCAGTTTAGCCAAAGGAAGGAGCGGAGGCGACGTGGTCTCCCGCTTTGTCCTGAGAGCAGACGGCTCTTCGGCCCCGCGGACAGGGCAAGACGCTGGGAGCCGGCACCACGTTCAAAAAGAGGCAGAGCTGTTGAGTGAGGAGGGGGCCGGGGGCGTCCCCCATCGCTCTCCAGACTGGGCATGTCGCGCTCCACCAGCGAGGGGCTGGCTGCTCAAATGGCTCCTTTGGGATTCTCCCGCCTGGGGCCTGCCAGAGCTCAGGCCGGGTGATCGCCGGGATCCTGCCAGGCCTCGGTGCCCATCCGCAGAGCAGCAGTGCCCACCAGCGGCTGGGCCCG